AGAGAGAGAGAGAGAGAGAGAGAGAGAGAGAGACGTGAGTTGGACTACTTGAGGAAGAAGATAACGTGGAGATCTCTTATCACTTCTCAAAAAATATAATTAATCCCACTTAATTAGGCCATATATAACCATTTCACCTATTAATATTATATTATTTACTTAAAACGTAATGTTGATAAAAAATTTGTGTAATCGTAATTGTGATATTATTTAGCCAATGGATTGTAAATGGAGTAAATTTCTCGAAAATAAAAGCAAAGCAGGGGCTGAAAATCGGGTGAACGGGGGTTGAAAAACGACGACCAAATTTGACGGCAATCAATTCCTCGTAACTGGGTTTCCATGTTCAACATCAATGTATGAAATTATAATATTTCAAAGTTTGGAAATAGGGTATTTGGCTCGAAGCAAAACGGCACAACGACTCGAACATAGCGAACGATAACGACGACGACTCGAAAATGTAATAAACATAACTCTGAAATCTATACAAATCAATCACAGCAGCAAAGACACTCGATATTTTCGAAAACAAGAGTTCTAACATGTCCACGTCAATTCACGATTCCACATGAATAAATATTCAAAATTTCAACGAACGAACCGAAGAGAAACATCAACGCTCAAAAACACGCAAGATAATACACGAATTTATAAAAGCATGGAATAAAACAAGGAGGTTCGAAATAGATTACCCATCTTCGGGAATCTACGAACTATCTGAAAACGGGATCGAAAGAATGGGACGATCAAAATTTGAAATCTTGACGAAGCTGCCACTGTGACCTCTCAGGCAGACTGGGGGGTTGCTCCTGTACGATTTTCGAGGTCTGACGGAGGTAGACAGCGGTTGACAGCAGCAGGAGAAGGTCTCGCCGAAGTGCTCGTCAGAAAGAATGACAGACGGGTCGTCGGTGCTCAATAGGATCTTCTTGCGGCAGAAACTGAACGGCGGCTCTCTGGACACGACGTGGTGGTCGTCGGAAGCTGGCCTGCTTGGAGAACGATCGGGAGGTTAGGAGAGGATAGTGGACTTCGCCAAAAATCTGGCGGCGAAAATTTCTATTTTTTTTAAAGCTGACGAGAGGACAGACTGAAAGTGTGGAGGAGATGAAATTCGTACGCTCCTCAGGAACTGAATGTAGATATATGGAGGATCGGGCGATCGTGCGATTGAGGGAGAGATTTCAGCGAAATCCAATGAACAGATTTTATCCTCTCATGGCAGATATTTGAACGTGCGAATAAAGGAGGAATGAGCCAAGGTCATCAAGTTCAATTTGGGCCAAATATCAATAAAAGAATTAGGCCAGGAATTTGATTCAAATTGGTCCAAAAAGAATTACTTTCATTTGGGTAAAAAAATTAATTGGTAAAAATGAACTTGTTTTAATAGCTCAAATGGTCCAAAATTGAAACTCAAAGCTCGATTGAGAATATTGGCTCGGACAAAAAAACGCGATAACACCGAAGGATATCGATTTAATAATTGATTGGCGACATATAATAAAATAAACGACTTATAATATTAATTAGACGACATCTAATTAAACAATAATAAGTCTAAACAGAAAAATGTCGAGCAATTATGGAATAGTACGCAATTAATAAAAAAATACTAATAGCATATGATAATATTAGTGTTATATACGGAAAGCTTAGCTTTGGATGATATATACTCTTACCTTTTATGAATGAGAAACATGTTAGATTAAACAAGTTCCATGTTCTGTTGTTTTGAATTAGATAGCGTGGGTCGTCATCGGGCGAACCGAATATCATACTATCAGCTACTCGCGAAACAAGAATAATGGTTCACAACCTAGATGGACATGAACACCCCATCAGAACAGTTGTAGTGTCAACTGTACAGTTCTTCTTGACTGATTAGTTGCACTAGTACATTTATGTATTGAAAAGGATCTCAGAGAGGAGCAGTTCGTTTTATACTGATCGTCGTAAACGAACTAGGCCTCGGTTAATTACTGCGTACTCTTTACCCGTAAGATATTAAACAGGCATATATTTGTAGTACTTATTACTTTGATTCACATTGGTGGGGCTTAGTGAACTGGGCCAATAGACCCTCCGTCTTGGGTAATACTGCTACATGTAGGATGTGCTGTTAGGATATTTACTTTCACCATGTGCGTTAGTTTGATGATGTCCCCGGAGTGAGTTCATGAAGGAATGTTATGCTAAAACCTGCAGGTGGATTAAATTCCGGCATAATATGAATGTGATGAACGAGCACTGGCCTCGGTGAAATAATGATAAATTAATTAATTCTTGATTGTCAGTGATCGAATTAATTAACGGACATTATATCTTAAATATGGGGAAATAAATCGAGTAATTATTATTGGAGTCTCAATTGTAAATTGAGCTAGGAAAAGGGAGTGCAATAATATAATGTTGGTGGCCCATTTAATGTTATTTAATTGATTAAAATAAATGGCTTGGTCCACAAATATTTTTATTAAGCCCTTCTATTAATCTCCTAAGGGTCCCTACTGTAGCTCTATATATACATCATTAAGCTCATGAGAAGAGAACACAATTCATCTTACACGATATGCACGCCGTCCATCTTCTCTCTCAGTTCCCATTCGAGCTTTATCTTCTTCTTGTTGTTCCACCGAAACAAGATTAAGAGGTTTTTGAGATATACAGTCAAAGATTTGTAGGTAAACCGAGATGAAATATATTTTATTGTACAGAACTAACCGGAGGTCCGATCAAGGCGTGCAACATACCCAGACGACCATCTCGACGAGGGATTTCCATCGTCGCCGAGATCGCCACCATTCGACGTCGGACGCGCCTGCATGCGCCACCGGAAGCTCCCAGGCAACAAGCTTCGTCTTGATCCGTTTGCACCCGTTTGATCTGATTTTTTATCCGATCATGTTCGTGCAACCCTAAGAAGTGATTTGCAGTCAACTATTCATTGGTATGTTGTATACGGCCATCCAGAAGATCAGCCAGATCGCCATAAATTTTAAGTCGTAAGTTTTCTACACAAACCTTTAGATCCGCTGCGCATAGGTTTACGTTTTGCTATTGAATTCGTGATTTGTACATAAAGAGATCCTAATAGATCCCAACAAGTGGTATGAGAGCACTTGGTTTTATTCATTTTGTACAAGTTCAAATTTTTACGGCTTTGTTTGACAAGATGTGTTCAAATGCGGCCATTTATCAGATTATATTCGGCGCAAACTAAGTTTAGTTTGTTGGGACGAAGTCTGTAATCCCCTAAATGAAGGCAGGTTGGGGTTGAAGGCACATAGAAGGATGAACATGGCTTTTTTTTATGAAATTTGGATGGGGTTTTTGGACTAAATCAGATGCTCTTTGGGTTCTTACTTGAAAAGCTAAATGGGTTGTATGCAATGGCGCTACAATGAGGTTCTGGTTAGATGCATGGTTATCATGTACTGAGACTCTATGCGAGGCAGCCTTAGCGCCGATCTTACTGGAGATCATGGAGCCACCTGTGAAATTTTTCGTGGCTGATAATAGGGTATGGAGATGGGACATGGTCAGGAACTTGCACCCTCCCTCGGCTCTCTTCAGAATAGCAGGTACACCTATCCCTCGACCGAAGCTGGGAGACGATCATCTCTATTGGGTGGCTTCGGAGAATGAGAAATTTACTACCGGTTTCGCTTACCAGCTTGTTATTTCGACGGAAGAGATCGACAAGCGGGGCCTATGGAGAACCGTTTGGAGATGGCCCAGTAAAGGGTTCGCCACTTCTTATGGCTGGTAGTGAAAGGTCGTCTTTTGACCGACGTAGAGCGAGAATGGAAACATTCGACATCATTTTTGAGTTGCCACAGGTGTCCGTCTAAGGAGAAGTCCCTGCTGCATGTTCTCCGTGATTGCGCAGAAGCTTCTCGAGTATGGATCTGCCTTGTTCCATCGCACGAAGTGCTTTTTTGGAGTGACCTTTTGAAAATTATGGCATTGGCAAAACATTGCTATTTCTCAAAGTCCTGGGATGGAGGCCAATTGTAAAATAAATAAGATCAAAAACTTCGTTTCTGGTGTCCTGCATTTTGCAAAAGGCAATCAGAAACTTGGAGGCACTGGTGCTTCTAGAGTACCGCGTCTTATCTGTTGGGAGGTGCCACTGACGTCTTGGATTAAATTAAATTCCGACGGGGCTCATAATAAATCCTTGGGTATGGCTTCTACTAGTGGGTTGAATCGAGATACTTGTGGTAGATGGCTCGGTGGTTTGACGACGAATATTGGGTTGTACTCTATCACTGGAGCAGCGCTACGGGGGTTACTTCATAATCCTCGTATGGCTTGTGATATGGGATATCATCAGGTTGCAGTGGAAGTCGACAATGCCAACGTCGTGGGCTTTGCAAATAACACAGAGGATGTAACTGGTGTTCATTCAAGTTGGTTTTAGGTATAAGAGAACTACTCAGTCGGGACTGACAGGTTAAGATTTCACATATTTTTCGCGAGGCGAATTTTACAGCGAATTGTTTGGCGTCTCAACCAACCTTAGATTCTCTCGGTCTTCATCGTCTTTTAGCTCCACCGTCCACTGTCTTTTCGTGGCTGAAGCACGACGTTAGAGATGTCTCTTACTCACGGAACGTTTGTCCCTAACGCTGTTTGGCGATAGCTCTCTTTTGTTATTAAAAAAAAAGGCATTATATAACATATTTGGCCCACATACCCATTTTCGTTTTACATCTATTTATTATGAACACAATAATCTATTACTTCATAAGATAAAATCAAGATCATTTTTTTTTTTTTCAAATCATCACCATTTTCCCTCCAACTTTAAGAAAACATTTCAAATGAAATCAAATGCAAATTAAGTGCAGCAATTGTTGGATGCCCTCAACCCACATCTGCTTCTCCCCTTTGCTCTTGCACTCGAACTCGATCACTCTCTCTTCTGTTTGCACCGCAAAGTACGACGACATCTCGGTTTCTCGTCCAGGCCATGCTCGAATATCACTGTATACACCTGAAACTACGCCTGCCCAATGGCCCAATAAATTAAATGATTTTGTAATTAATTTTAAGCACCAAATAATTTACGGCGGTTTTTTTGTCCCGAGTATTGGTGTGAGTATCCGACTTACATTTCTTTTTCTTAGTGAATGTCCCTCCCATGTGCTTGCTCTTCATTTTAGCCACCACCTATTTCATTTTTTGTTTACTTCATTTTTAGTTAATTTTAAGTAATGCTGCGGTCTTGTTACGGTACCATCCCGTCGAGTACTCAATGATATCGTAACGAGACCATAGCATTCCCTAATTTTAAGCACCAAAATTACATAGAAAAGAAACAAAATGTGTTAACCACATGCTCTAGCTATTTTGACCTGCCAGTTTGAATTTATGTTGACAGAGACTTGCTTCCGGTGCAGGTCCCCTGCATTTTCAACCACAAATGTTGTTATTATTATTACTACTATTATTATTATTATTATATTATTATTATTATTATTATTTATTTTATTTATTTATTTGGTTACCTTTTCTAGTGCGCTTGAGAAGGTGACCGCCTTTGGAGACGAAATTTAGCGAGAGGGAAACGTTATTCTTCCGAAAATTCTCTGTAATGGTTGCGGGCCCATGCTCGTTCTGTAGTCTCGCCCTCAGTATAGCCGCGCCTCTAAGAGCTGCAAATCAACATCGCAAAAATATAATTAGTGCGTGGGTTTAGCAGAAAAGAAGCAGCTAGAACCTTACCCAATACAATTACCTGTAGCCGCCCCTGCAGTGAGGGCCATGACGTCGCCATTTGTCCTGGCGTTGACCGCCGAGTTGACCGCCGACAGTATGTGCTCCCGTTCCGCCCCCATCTCCTCCGCCATCTCTATGCAGTGGGACGCCACCACAGCCGCCGCCGATGCCACCGCCGCTGGCGTCGCAATCCCTTGTTTTCCTACAGCCAGTGCGGCCACGGCGGCCGCCACGCCGGCCACAGAGACGGCGGCGTGGAGGTGGGCGTTGTGGGCCCGTATCTCATGTTTCTTCCTCTCCCGCTGGTCCTTCACCCAACGGCCCGCGCTCTTTCGCTTCATCATGCTCCTGTAAAACTGTTAAACCCCACACTTTACTTTAATTAATAATTACATCCACGGCCCCCATTGGTTTTTTTTTCTTATCATGATTTTAATTACGGAACCATTCCGTAGTGGTGTGTAATAGTTAGATCAATTATCTACGAAGATTAGATGATGATCTCACAGTTACAATTCCCGACGAAATGGTTCTATAACGGGACTGTAGCATTTCCAAAAAAAAATGATATTAGGGTGATTATTGATTAATTCAGCCATAGCGTTGGCAGGAATTTAGTTACCTTGGCGTCTTCACCAACACTTGCAGACTCTGCATGACTTTCTGAGGGTAATAAAGCCTTATTCTGCTTAAAATAGGTGAAAAATACCAACCAAGTCGAAGTAAGATGATTTTTATACAGTGGCTGCCTTTTTCCTCATCTACAAATAGTAGTGTAGTGTAGACTTTAAGGTTCAGTCCCATGTTTTTTTTTTTTTTGAAAAAAAAAAATAATAATAAAAGGGACATAGTACCTTAAATTACATGGAAATACTACCGAACCATTCCGTCGGGATTTATAATTGTTAAATTAACTATCTCCGACGATTACACTGACAAAATAGTTCCGTAACAGGATCGTAGTATTTCCCTACATTTACATTACATATTTATGAGTTATGCACACCAAATTAAACACTTACAGCTAGGCTCAATCCAAGTTGAGCCTGAACATTCGATAGTCCCTCGTCTTGTTTGGTGTTGCCGAGGGCCTTGGACAGCTCCAGTGCCGAGACGCTCCATGATCGGGCCAAGAACTCCATGGACTCAGTTGGTGTCTCCGGCTGTGGGCACACAACGGGCGCCCACTCTGCTACATTTTCTTCGTCGATGTTTTCCAGCTCATTGGGCCTACATTTGGGCTCAGCACGGCCTCTCTCTACAGACACTGCCCATCAAACAAGAAACAAAGCCACAAAGGTCGAGTGAGTTAAGGTAGTGAGAAAATCACCATTGATTAATCATATCCTATATATTTTTTGTTTTTATTTTTTATTTTTTTGTAATATATAGGTACTAGCTTATAAATTAATTTGAAAAGTCTTACTTTGTTTGCTATGCTGCTGCTAGTTTAGAAGGTGGTGGTAAGTGTAGAGTGATTGCAGGAGACGATGGTCGAGACAAAATGCCGCTATTTATTATCACAAAATATTATGTTCTCAAGTTTTGTAAATTAAATTAATTAAAATAAAAGTTTTTTAAATTAATTTACCTAAAATGAATAAAATCAAAAAGAAAGATTCCTTGTCAAAGTAAGTATATATATATATTCACGAGGACCTGAAAGGTTCCTAATAAAGTCGAACTTTTGCTCCAACGCATATAATTTTTTCACTTCTTTAATTTTAAAACTCGTGTGATGCATGCAGCGTAGTTATATTAAGGTAAACATTTAAATTTGAATGATTTGAAGAACGTAATATATATTTATTGGAATAAACAAAATGTAACTTATATAATATTAAATATATCCTTGTACACAAAATTATTTGTTTGGTCTTTTGGTACATCGTCTATCACCACAAATTATATTACATTTCGAAATAAGCTTAAATAAACTAATTAATTATTTAGCAGGATATATATGATATTTTATAAGTGTATGCAATCATTATTTGTTTTGTGAGTGTATGTAATCAATTTCAAATTTGTAATCTAGACTATTAAACAGAACCTAATTTTTTAGGATGTTCCAATCCGATATCATTTTAAATTACAAATTAATATTATCTTACTCTATTTTATTTTAAAAAAATCCAAACTAAATAAAGTAATAGCAAAATGATAAGAGATTTTTAAATTTTAATTTTCAATTTAAAACCCATTTCTATGCAATTCGATTTTTTTAATAAACATCATCTGCTGCAATTAGGTAAACATACATGTTATAGTATTTTGTCTAATTTAAAATTCTCGATTTTATGGTAAATATATTTTTTTTAATAAAAATAAAGAGTTTTTACTTTACAAAATTGTCTTGTCGAATTTTAGATAATTTAACACGATTTCTATACAATCTGATTTTTCTAATAAACAATTAACCTGTTGCAATTAGTAATAAAGATATATGTGATAGTATTTTGTCTAATTCAAAATTCTCGATTTTATGGTGATCATTTTTTTCTTAAATAAAAAATGAGAAAGAATTTTGACTTTTGCAAAATTGTAAGTATCAGTCGAAATTTACCTAAATTAATCTACAAAATCCATGAATTTAAGGTGCATATATAGCTGGTTTATTTTTAGGAATAAATTAAAAAATATAAAAACTGCCAAAAATAATAATGAAATAAATGCTAGTTGACTTTTCTTATTACTATTATTAGTAAGTTGAACTCTTCATAGTTATAGATGTATATGTGTGAATGAAAGAGGGAGATCCCTCCCTATATATTAATTCAAAACATGTTGAGCCTAAGTGACAGATTCTAACGTTTCGGATGTTGACATGGCGAAAATCTATGCTTCGTAATGTTGTTTATATATTCATTTTTGCTATGACGTTAGACTTGATATTAGACATAAATATTTTTTTTCAAACTTGGTAAGCATATATTTAATTTTGTTATTTTTTTCTCTTAGTACACATTTCCTTCTTAGTTTGGGCAAATAGCAATCTTACCATAGTTATAATTTTCTCCCATATTTCTTCACAAATTACAATTTACAAATCACTGTCTATTCTTTTTTTGTTTTTTCATCAATTAGTCTATCAAAATTTTTTAATAAAAAATTATTTTAGCAAAACTTTTATCATATATTTCTTAACTGAATACTCGTGTAGTATAAGGGTATTTTATTGGGTACCTTGTTTATCTGTTAATTTATGGAGCGGCGCTTTCATTATTACCAGATATATAATATATTTATTATCCACCACTGTAGTCATGTATGGTTAATGCAAGAAAAATGGGGTGGCCCCTCCACCCAATATGAGTAAGTGTTTGCTTTGATAATTTGATTGAAATGAAATGATGGAAGCAGTGTATATATTTTACTTTTGGCAGTATAAATAATTGTCTGATCAAAATATGTCATCAAGTGTTGTGCATTTTGGACATTAGTGCTTCTTTGAGTGGTTTGCTTTTCCAGATATGTGCAGTGACTAGTCAAACTATAACTCTTTTTTCGATTTCTTTTTTAGATCATCAATAAATACGAAAGAAAAGTGTTTGTCTCATTTTTGTTGTATTTTTCATGCTTGTTTTGCTTTTTTTTTCCCAGTTTTAGGTTGTTTCTTTCGTTATAAATTCGTGTCGTGTTTTATTATGTATATGTTTTGCTTTTTTTCCCCAGTTTTAGGTTGTTTCTTTCGTTATAAATTCGTGTCGTGTTTTATTATGTATTTTCCTTCATTTTGAGTCTTTAGATGTTTTTTGTTTGTTTTTCCGATTTTCTTTTGTGTTTTATCGTTTCTGGTGTGTAGGTCGGGAGGTTCGGCAAATTTGCTCAACAAGAAAAAATGGATTTGAGAGCATAATTGAATAGAGGGGTTCATTGGCTACGCGTAGCAAAAAATAGAACTCAATTCCGAGTTCGGACGAGCCCAAACGAGCCTAAACATAAAGTCATGCAGTGTAGCTAAAATCGCGGCTCGCAGCCAAAGTCGCGATTCGCGAGCTCAACATCGCGACTCGCCAGCACAAAGTCTCGACTCGCGACTTTAACAGAGCCTCCGATCGGGCCCCAGCGACCCCACGGCCCGTCAGAGTCGCGACTCGCGAGTCAACTCGCAAGTCGCGACATGTTCGCCTCTGTTTTTATTTTTGCTCGTTTTTACTCGTTTTAGCTCCATTTTTCGAGCACTATATATCAAAACGATCCTTAGATTCGTGGGAATAATCCCCAACATTGTGTTTTCACTTTCTCCTACTCTAAAACTCGAATTTGATCGTTGTTTTGCTCGCTTTTCTTCTTTAACTATTCCGGATTAAGTTGTTCATTGGAGTCGACTCTTGATTCTCTATTAATCTTAAGTTTTCCGTTTCAATTAATCCTTGAACATGAATGCTTGGGTTCTTGAGATGGATTGTGTTGAATTTCATATGAGTAACTAATTCGTTCGCTAAGAATAGGAGATGATGATGGTGTTTAGAATTTAATTGTGATTTTCATGCTTATTGATCGTTCAATTTATACGAGTTGTGCTTAACTAGGGCTTATAATTCTCGAGAATTGAATTTTGAATATTGTCGAAGAGTGACACTTCGATTTGCAATTGATTTCCAATTGAATATGATTCGTTCTTGTGTGATGTGTTTAAATTCAACGAACTAGTAGATTAACAATCATCTAGGATAATTAATCAACTCTTAGAACCGAAAGGGGAGAAGTTGATCGATCTAGGCTCGCATGAAATAGATTTGTTCTGAAACGTATTGTCTATATATTGTGTGATTTGCTTGATTTACCTTCTATGTTACCCTCTAGTTACGAAGAGTTATTGAGGACTATCTCTAGACGTTAGGTTGTTCGAATCATTTAACCGAATGATCTTAGCTTGATATTTGCATTGTTTAGGAAATCATCATCCTCGACTCCTTAGCCTCTTATCCTTTGATCTTCATCTTTGCTTTTAAGTTCGATTTTGCATTGTTCGAATTCTCTTTCGTAGTTGATAATTAAAACCAACCATCTGGATAGAGTGCTTAGGATTTGTTTTTCGTTTATGTGTTATCAACACCACTTCTAGATTACGAACTGTCTTCCTTGAGAGATCGACCCGAGGTCGGGAGTCATCCTATACTCGGTAAAAATATATTTGCTACAACAAGAAGGTTGGGTTATTTTTTTTATTTTTTTATTTTTTAAATTTTATAGATAAAAACATATAATAACAACTATAAAGCAATTAGAGTGGGTTGATTAATTGGGAATTCAATTATATATTTCTAGTAGAATCATTGTTTTTCAATCCGGACCGGTCTGGCAGGTCGATCTGGGACCCGGAGCTGAAACCGATCCGGGTGGGCTATTTGGACCAGGTAACAATGGACCTGGACAAAATTCGGCCAACCCGGCCTTGATTCGGCCGGGTCAACCCCGTTGACCCGGTCCTTATATATTTTTTATTGTTTTTAAATATTTTTTATATAAAAAATAAAAACTATGTAAATATATTGATATAGTAAATATTTATTGTGAGATACAATTCTTTTTAACACTTGGATGTACAAATTTAATATACAAAACATATATTTTTGTTACTTTTATGTATATTTATATGTCAAAAATACTACATATATAATTTTAAAAATTTTTAAAATTAATTATCCGGTTCAACAATTGACTTGGTGACCCCAAGGTTCAACCGCTGACCCGGTGACCCAGAGACCTGCGTGGGTCGATTATTGGGCCACCGGGTTTAAAGACTACTAGTAGATATCCTGTGCACATGCACAGATGTACATAAAATATTCTAAGTAATATTTGAGAATTTAATGTTAAAATTCTAGATAATGAACATATTACATTTTCTCAAAAATTTGATCATTAGGAAAAATAAATTAACGATTTTATTATTATGAACAATTGTTTATTATCATTATATAATAATAGCTTATTATTATTATTATTATGATTATTATTATTATTATTATTATTATTATTATTATT